CATGACTAAAAATTTACAAATGGCTATAGAAGCTAGACAAAGTTGGGATTCGAACTTAAATTTAAGTCATGATAGCGGATGTTTATATGAATTTAAATTTTGGATGAGAAATTTAGGTTATAATCCAGTACGGCCAGTATTTAGTAACTTGTCTCACACAATAACTATTTTTTTCGGATGCTAGCTCTTATGCCGCCGGGGCTATAATTAAAGGTTTCCCCGAAGAAATCTGTCATATAAATTGGTCGGAATCCGAAAAGTCTGAAAGTTCTACTTGGCGGGAATTAACTGCTATCAATTTTGCCGTACGATCTTTTTTCAGCCGTTTGAAAGGTCACTGTGTTCGTTGGTGCACGGACAATCAAAATTGTGTCGTTATAATTGATAGTGGTAGTATGAAACCTAAATTACATGCTATTGCGTTGGGAATTTTCAAATTATGCCTTGAAGGTAACATCTCCCTTTGTTTGCAGTGGGTTCCTAGGAAAGAAAATTCTGTTGCCGACGCAATCAGTAAAGTTTTTGATTGGGATGATTGGGGAGCTTCCGAGGACTTTTTAATTTTTAGATAGTCTGTGGGTCCCATACAGTTGACCGGTTTGCTAATCATTATAATAAAGATCTCCTAGATTTAATTCTAAGTTTTGGGTACCAGGAACTGAAAATGTTGATGCCTTTTCAGTATCTTGGGCTGAAGAAAATAATTGGTTAGTTCCGCCGGTAAATTTGGTACCGAAAGTTATAAATTACCTGGTTTCTTGCGGGGCTGTTGGAACTTTGATAGTTCCGAATTGGCCCTCTGCAGCCTTTTGGCCGTTACTTTTCGGCAATACTAGTATTAAGCAATCTATGATTTTAGAAGTGCTCGAATTTAAAGCTGGTCAAGATATTTTTATTCAATATAAAAACAAAAATACAATCTTTGGTTCAAAAAAGTTCACAAGCAAGGTTTTAGCCGTGAGATTAGATTGTTGCTAAATTATTTGTATTTTAAATGTCTGATATTCAAGTTTGACATTTATGAATGTTGTTGAAGTTTCTTTCATTCCATGCTTTTGTTAATTTTCCGGAAGTGATTTATGAGGGCCTTTTTGTCTAGGTCTTGTGTTTTAGTTGTCATTTTGTATTTGCACATAGATTTTAATTTAAGTCCAGGGCCACTTGGCCAGGACTTGTGTACGTTAGTTTGCATTGTTTTCTTCTTAAAGATATGTTTAGTCCAGGGCCACTTGGCCAGGGCTAGTGTACGAAAAATGTTCCATTTAGTCAAAGGTCACTGGACCATGGCATTGTTTTTATTTAAGATGCATGTATTTAGAGTCCAGGGCCACTTGGCCAGGGCTAGCGTGTGTAAATTTTCATTCAGTCAAGGGTCACTTGACTTGTTCTTATAAGATATGTATAGTCCAGGGCCACTTGGCCAGGACAAATGAGTTATTGTAGCCTTTTGACACGATTTGTATTTTATGTTTTAGTAGAACGTTTTAGACGTATCTAATGTGATTAATTTAGGGTAATTTGCCCCAGGCAAAAATTTAAAGATATTTTGTAAATAAGTGGTCTGGCAGGCCTGTTAATGTTTTATGTTTTTATGCTTTTCTTACTTAATTCTTATTTGATCAGTTTTTTAACGATTGAATTTATTATACATTTTTCAGATTTAATAATGAACCGATTGAGTAATAAAGTGTACGGTGATCCAGAGTTATCCTCCCTTGCTGCTTCACTTCCGGAAGTCGCTCTTTCATCAAAAGCCTGTAATACGAGTAAAAAATACCAGAGATCCTACAACAGTTTGAGTAAATGGGCCAGACAGCATGGTTTGGTCGTTTTCCCTGCCAATAATGTGGATTTTTCTTTATATTTAGTGTCTTTAATACAAAGTTGTAATTCTCCATCTACTGTGGATGAAGCATTTTATGGTATGAAATGGGCTAATGATTTAGCAGGAAATTTAAATAATCCGTGTTCATCCTTTTTAGTGAAATCAGTCAGGGAGGCTGCTCATAGAATTCTGGGACATCGTGTTCCTAGGAAAGAACCTGTTACTCCGGAAATACTTTTTAAGTTGGTTAATGTTTTTGGTAATACTGATGTAAATTTATTTAATCTAAGAAATATAACAATGTGTCTTTTAGCTTACGCTGGTTTTCTAAGATTTTCTGAACTGATAAATATTAAGCGTTCTGATTTTCTTTTTAAGACTGATCATATTGCATTGTTTATTGATCACAGTAAAACAGAGATTTATCGAGATGGAAGTTGGTGTTTAATAGCAAAGACTGGAATTGTAACATGTCCTGTTAACATGTTATTGCGTTATTTAACTATGGCAAACATTGATGAAAACTCAAATGATTTTATATTTCGTTCTGTTACTTTTTTCAAGAGTTCTAATTGTTATAAATTAAGAAGTACTTCTCCATTGTCTTACACTAGAGCTCGTGAACTTATTTTAGATATGTTTGAGCATATCGGTTTGGACAAATCAAAATGTGGATTGCATAGTCTGAGATCAGGTGGCGCTTCAGCTGCTGCCAATGCTGGAGTGTCAGATAGGTTATTCAAACGTAAAGTGAAAAGGCTAAGGACTCTTATGTTAAGGATGACATTGATAAACGACTTTTAGTTAGTGAATGTTTAGGATTGTAATTTCGTTTTTCAATTGTTTGAGTTATATTAGTTTTTATTGTTATTTTTTGCCCCATTTGCCCGTTCTTTGTTAATTCGATCATAAATGCAATGTGAATGACTGATTCTACATATGTGTTTGTGTTATATTTTCTTAGTTTATGTAGAATAAGGGATAAATGATTTATTTCCGTTTGAGCGAAAGCGAATTAGGAAATAAATGTATGTATTTATCCTTGTTTCTACACGTTGTTATTTGCACGAAATTTACGTGCTGTGTTGATATATAAGCTAGCGGTTCATTAAAGTTTATCATTCGAGGTCTTCACATTGCATTGCATAGTCAATCACGTTTACAAGTTCATATTCATTTCAGTTCTATAAGAAACATTTTTAGGTTAGTTAGATTGACAATTTAATTGCACAGTTTTTCTTATTATTTGGGGTTTTTTCTCTTATCAATTTGAATTAATTAATTAATTAATTTATAAGATCTATTTGTTTCAGAATTTCATATTTTGAGAATTTTCAGATTCATTATTATGGTAATGTATGTACTGGATACGATTATGTGTTATGTTTCGATATATTATATTGATGTTTAAATATAAAATGTTAAATAGAATAAATGCAATGTGAATGACTGATTCTACATATGTGTTTGTGTTATATTTTCTTAGTTTCTGTAGAATAAGGGATAAATGATTTATTTCCGTTTGAGCGAAAGCGAATTAGGAAATAACTTTACTCGAAAACCTACTGATAAGAATAGCCTGTCGTCTGCTAGTTGGGGAAAGTGTTATCGGTGTATTTGAAAGATACTACTATTTGGGCAGAAAATAATGATCTTTTTTTAAAGTTTTCATTTGATCTGTGAGTGCTAGTTTTTGACCCAAGAATACCAATATTCGAACTTAAAACTGTAGCCCCTAGAGTGTCAACAAGGTTTTTTTCCATAGTTGGACTGTGTTACCAATTTTTGACCCAATGTGACACATATCCGAACTTGACATACCTTTTTGGCATGCTTAATATTTGTGCCAAAACAAACAAAACACCAAATGTTTGAAGATCCTTTGATACATGACAGATTTATGGGTCTGAAAAGGTATTCGAATTCACACACGGAGGAACAAGTATGAGATGTAACACTTTATATGCCTCTTGCCTTTTTTATGGCACGGACAAAATATTTATAATTACTTTTATACAAGATGTGCACATTTAATTTTTTTTCAATCCTAAATTTGATCTTCATTTCGATATATTTGATATCATAATTTGTTTTATTAATCCAAAATTTTCATCCAATAATTTATTTCGTTTCAAATAAGAAACGTATCATTTTAGATTAATATGATAAATGAATGTTTCATATTAAAGCAGAGATAGGAGGGTCAGCAAGGGTCCAGGCTTAAACAAATAAGGATGTAGTGATCAACGTTTTTCTTAAGCCAGTTTTTGCTAATATTTTAATCTTTCTGTCCCTAATTTGATAGAAATAATCCCTTCTTCTGAAGCCACACCCCAAGTGGACCTGTGCCTGTGAAAGAAGGCTTCTTTGAACAGCCTTAGCTAAATCAAAAGTACTTGAAGTACTACTGAATGACAATTTTGAAATAGTCAAAAGTTTTAAACTAATTAGTCTATATTAATTCTACGTGAAAATCGATTTTTAGGGAAAACATAGATATTCCTTTGAAATCATGCAGACGTTCTTTATTGTTTTATTGGCAAACCACCCTCACACTGAACCACAATGATTATGTTACATATCAGAAGCATTATTTTTATGAAAAACCAAAAATGATATCATAAAGGAAGAGGTCACTCCTTTTGCAGGACATGAACAATTTAGCAGTTAAAATTCCGCCGTCTCTTGTTCTGCAAATCTACATAATTACATCAGTGATTTTATTTGATTGATCTCTAGATTTTGACTATGACACATAACGGTCATATTTTAAGATAATAGTCATAATCTAAATATTAAGCATGTTGTGTCAGAAGTGTTATTTTGTCCAAGTATGAATTCAATTTGTCCATGTAAAACAGAACAATAGCAATTTAAGCAAAATTCCATAACACGAGTTTGATCGTCTAGCTCATTTTATGTGTCAAGGTCATACTTGAAATATTCAACAAGATTATGTTGTTCATATATGAATCGGGTCTGTCTATTGCTTCCAAAGTTATGACCATTTTTGCAAATTCCAATAATCTAACCCTGGCAATCGATGTCAATTTATGGAAAAATGTCAACCAGCCGATTCTTCATCAAATCACATAATAGGTGACTTATCACTTGGTGCAAAGTGATTTCAATGACAAAACAAGAAAGAAAACACATAAAATAAATTTTGCTTTACCTTGTCAAAAATGTTTCCATTCTTACTAAGATCTTCTGTAACTTTTGTCTGAAAACATCTGCAGTTTATTATGACACTGTTGACTCCATTAAAATCTGTTTCTGGTGCAGATACAGCATCTTTATAACCATCTGGAGGCATAAAACACTTAGCGACCTCCCAGGAATTACTGCACCACTGAGTAGCATCAGTGTTTTTGTAGGATGGGCCATTGTATCTATGGGCCTTCTGAATTTCAGTTTTGAAATTATGACAGATCTTGTTCGGACAACCAGCAAGAAGAAAAGTAGTTGCAGAATCTTTATGATATCTGCATTTTCTGTGCATAACGTTACAAATTTTGTTTGTAGGACACTTGACTACATTTTCCGTGCAACAACTTGTACAAATTGTTCCAGATGGAAGACCCTGATTGTTACATATATCTGTTAAACATTTCTGCTGGAACTGTTCAATTTCCTCTTCAACAAAAGGTTCGATACCTTCTTTTGTAATCAAGACTGCTAAACTAGCCTTTACCCAGTTATTATATCTCAAGTTAGACAGTTTTTTTGACAAGGACACTGAAGCCATGCTTATGAATTGTTTAATTCCCCAGTGAATCTAATCCATATCACAAATTGTATAATGATAATGTTAATATGATTCTTTTACTAATTATAACTGAAGGACAGCCTTATGCATAAAGACGCTGAAAATCCTCTCCTTAGTGTTAGATATATATGATATGATACCCACATTTCCAGTCATACATCAACATAATGATTTGTAGTTTTCTTCTTGTGTTCGAACCTAGTAACCTAAAATTAGAAATGAGTGATATTTCTACATGATTTAAGAAACAATATTCTGAAGTCAACATTCACAAACAAGAAAATGTCCATGTAATACCATTTGTAGAAACCTTTTACTAAAACTAGAACTCCGCGAGTCGGATCTGTCGCCTTGTTAGGAGAAATGGCCAGGACAAAAATGAAATATGAAAATTTACAAAGGACATTAACTCAAAACATAAGAAGTGCAGAGCAGCAGTTTCTTTGCACTGCACTTCTTATCAATAAGATCTATCATCCTATGAAGTTTTAAGTCCATACCTTTTATAATTTATGAGAAATGGCCTGGACAAAAATAAAGTATGAAAATAAATATAGGGTACTAATAACTCAGAAATAAGAAGTGCCGAGTACCGGTTCTTGTGCACTGCACTTTTTCTTAATGAGATCTGTCATCCTATTCATTTCATTTCTATAGCTTTTATACTTTAGGAGAAATAGCCAGGACAAAAATAAAGTATGAAAATTAACAAAGAGCAATAACTCAAAAAATAAGAAATGCAGAGTACCGGTTCTTGTGCACTGCACTTCTTCTTAATGAAATCTGTCATCCTATGACGTTTCATGTCAAGAGCTTTTATACTCTAGGAGATATGGCCTGGACAAAAATGAAGTATGAAAATTAACAAAGGGCAATTACCCAAAAAATAAGAAATGCAGAGTACCGGTTCTTGTGCACTGCACTTTTTCTTAATGAAATCTGTCATCCTATTAAGTTTCATTTCCATAGCTTTTATACTTTAGGAGAAATAGCCAGGACAAAAATAAAGTATGAAAATTAACAAAGAGCAATAACTCAAAAAAATAAGAAATGCAGAGTACCGGTTCTTGTGCACTGCACTTCTTCTTAATGAGATCTGTCATCCTATGACGTTTCATGTCAAGAGCTTTTATACTCTAGGAGATATGGCCTGGACAAAAATGAAGTATGAAAATTAACAAAGGGCAATAACCCAAAAAATAAGAAATGAAGAGTATCGGTTCTTGTGCACTGCACTTTTTCTTAATGAGATCTGTCATCCTATTAAGTTTAATTTCCATAGCTTTTATACTTTAGGAGAAATAGCCAGGACAAAAATAAAGTGTGAAAATTAACAAAGAGCAATAACTCAAAAAATAAGAAATGAAGAGTAATGGTTTTTGTGCATTGCACTTTTTCTTAATGAGGTCTATCATGTCCATAGCTTTTATACTCTAGGAGAAATGGCCTTGACAAAAATAAAGTATGAAAATAAACAAAGGACAATAACTCAAAAAAAAGAGATGCAGAGTATCGATTCTTGTGCACTGCACTTTTTCTTAATGAGATCTATCATCCTATGAAGTTTCAAGTCCATAGCTTTTATACATTAGGAGAAGGTATGAAAATTAACAAAGGGCAATAACTCAAAAATTAAAACGTGCAGGGTTCCGGTTCTTGTACACTGCATTTCGGGTCATTATAAGAAGCATGCATACCAAGTTTGAAGTCAATCCGACTTATAATAACTGACTTGTGTTCCGGACAAGCTTAAGGGGACGCAGACAACGACGCCGACAACAGTAAACCCTATATGTCGCCTTTTTCAAGGCGACACAAAAATGAACAACAGAACAATGATGGTCCTTGATCAGTCATCTGAAATCCATTGCAAGAAAAGGTCATAATTATGTCATATTTTTCAATGCAGAGGTAGGTGGTTAGGTCACAATTATTCATCAAGTTGAATTTATAATATCACAAACTTAAGTGTAATCATAGTACATGCAAACCTTGAAGACTATACAGTTTCAGAAAATATAATCAAATTAGGTTTTCCAGAATACATTTATAACCCTATAGTAATTTTTGTGTGCATAGTTTATAGCCCTATACTGACTGCACCCCAGACAATAGACTGATTCCCCTTGCTAAAAATTGCAATACTTTCCACCAAAGTGGAGCCATATTTTCCCTTTGCACAAAAAAGTTCTGTATCTGCAATAAAACAAGTTACATTACCAAACTAAATGAGAAAACTGAAATTTCAAATGGAAATTTTGAAAACAGAACGTAAAGCTATGTTACATTCTCAGTTATTGTTGTTTACATTCAGTTTTCATTTCTTTAAATTAACTCTGCTATATTTTCTCCATCAAAACAAAGGTTGCTTTAAAAGTTAAACAAATCATTGGTGTATTTGAAAATAGGTGACACTGGGGTGTGGGCCATGAACGATCCCACGAACATTGTTCTAAAAAAGTTCGTAGAGGTCCTCTAAGGTAATTTAAAACAATATGTAAACAATCAAATGGGTTATATTTATTGTAAATGAGTATGTATTAAGGTATTTATGATAAAAATAATATATTAATTGACATATTTTTCTATTTATATTTATATAACTAACCTACGTTCGAGTGCAGTTTACTTGCTTAAGAACCATCGTAAACCGACTAAGCGTTTGGAAGGTTAAATGTTTATCTTAACCAAGAATATTTTGAAATAATTCGTAAATTAAATTTATTAATTGATTTTGTAAGTAACACCAGCAAGAAAAAATACTTTTATCCGTAAAATTATTAATCTAAAGCACAGAAACTAACGTGTTTTTGTTTTTTTAATGATCAGGTCCTGTATATGAAACATACGAGAATTAAGATCAACAAGGCAAAAGCAACGTTCACAGGACGCAGCCCCGACACACCCAAGTTACCACAGCAGGGCACCCAGAAGGCACCAAACCAAAACCGGGAGTAGATACAAGGGCGGCGAAAGGAGGAAAAGGACACGTTATATGTGAAACAATAAAAACTAAAATTGGCCCATATTGGAATTAAAGGGACAAGGGCTATAAGGGCTATGTGAAACACGTGAAGGTACACAGAGTGGTACCGCTTGGAACGGTCAGTGGTAGTTACACCTCTGGGGAGTTTAAACCGGTTTAAGGCGCGCCAAACCTCATTCTTAACCCAAATATGTTCCTATTTGACACGACAGTGTAAATAAAATTAATCCCCGCCAAGTGAAATTCTAACAATGGTCTAGATTATATTAGAAGAAATAAATAAAACACTTAAATGATCGTGTACAAAAGGCATAACAACAAGAAAATCACCTACAAGGGCCGACGAGGCAAGACAGAGGACGAACATTAAGACAATTCAGGCCCAAAGAATTGTCCATCATAGAATCTTATATGTAATCAAAAGAGGAAAGCGTAGCGTCCAGCTGTAAATGGGATAAAAACCAAGCATATGGTATGCCTTAATATAATTTAGTCACAACCTCTTTTTTTAAATTGTTTGATGATTTTAGAGAAGACATCAGAAAAATTACTATGACCCATAGTCTATAGAAGTTTATTATAAACCACATCTCCATAAAAATCAGTCTTGCTCATACCTGGTCGTAAAAGAGTTTTTAAATTGCAATTAAATTTTAAAGCTAAATCTGAATTTCGATGGTAAAACTTAGTAAAATGATTACGCAATTAATGATAGCAATAGCCCTGTTTCAGTAATAAATAAAATGCGTTCATTAAAATCCTCAAAACGACTGTACGTCCTAGCAAATTTAATTAATTGAGAAACATATACCCCATATGATGTAGCATGAGATACATCCACATTCAAATGTGGACAGTTAACAATATTAAAATCAAAATCATCTCTTTTATCAAAGATTTTAGTTACTATAGTACATGTATTTTAATGATAGAAATGTTTAAATCTAAAAAAGATGTAATAATGCCTGATGAGTTAGTCTTATTCAATTTAAGTTCATCGGATATCTTTAAGTAACCATTTGATCGAAATAAGGATGATATCATCTAGGTAACGGGTAGTGTTATTAAATGCATGTATAATTTCCTGATGCGAAGTATGGGAAAGACTTAACATAAAATCCTCTCATAGCTGTATAGAAATAAATCAGTTATCTTCGGTGCACAATTAGTTCTCATTGGAATGCCTATTATCTGTTTGAAAACTGTATATATATATACAATAAGGGTATATATATGTTAGTAATGCAAATAGGAAAACTGTTTTTAATCGAAAAGATATTCAATCACAGTCGAAAAATTAAGTTTTTTGGTCTGTTAAAAATTCACGTGAAATACATAGTCTTTCAAATCCCGTAAAACTTGACGTTATGATTGGATCTCTTCTCTTAAACACATGCGTAATAAACCCAAACGAGTATAACTCCTTTTTTCCAGTCGTTTGCTGATTGGCGTCCGCGCCGAAGCGCGGTGCCCTTTATGGAATGAAATCAGATTTTGTGAAAGGGCGACAGCAACTTCTCGAGCCTTTTAGTCGGTCATAATAAAAGCCGATCATTCCGATCGGTATGAGGGTGCTTGATTATTAATTAAAAATGAAATGTCGCGATATGTACAATGAATAGCGAACTGGAGAATTTCGCAATGCAAACATTTTCAAATGAAATAACCTTTTCCGTCAATAAATAGCGCTCTTCGGGGTTTTTTATTTATCACTTTGTAATATACAGTGGGTTATTATGGTATGTTATAGTTATACATGAATATAGAATGATGAGTTGACGACCTAAACATTTCGAAAATCTATTTATAGAGGGATGTACTCCTATTGGTAATTCCCGGTCTCTCCCGGTCTATTTTGACCGGGATTTACTAGTGACCGGCGAATAGTATCACACGTTTATTGTCCGGTCTCCCCCGGTTTCGGAGTAGATGTTTGATATCGTTACAGAACAGAACAAATATTTTACAGATAAATAAGCTTTTTTTTACAAAATGAATGTTTGTCACTTAGTTTGGTTACAATAATTGATAAACACAGATCAACTCTCAAACTTATTGATTATTATTATACATAAACATACAATTCGAAAAAAAACAACAACAACAATAATAGCATGTTTAATTTTATCTATAAGAACAATAAATATGTACAATAATTGAGAAAAAGGTACATTTTTATGGTAATAATATGACACTATCAACTTTGAAACATTTTATTTAATTTGTTATTCGTGTTTAGTAAAGATGCCGATGAATTATTCAAAGTTACAAATTAGATTTTATGAATTATTCAATTGATTGATAATTAAAAAATGATAAAGAAAAATACAAATGTGCATGTACATGGTTTAAGAATAAACAATATTATATATTGAAAGATTAACCATAATTTACTGACTTTTTCCAGTTAAGTTTTGACTTATTATCGTCGGTCAATATGACAATTGAATTCTTAAAATTTCTTTTACATTTTTAATAAAAAAGAGTAGTAAACGTAAAAATTCAGTATTAAAATAGCACATAAAGCACAAAAAAGAAAAGAAAACAATTTTCATAAAATCTGCATTTTTTTATTAAAATAGATATTACAATTATTGTATAATAAACAATTATGCTCAACATGATCAACATGGTAATATTACCAGTGTCATATTTTTACCAAGTGTGAACAGATACCTTAAATTAAGAGGGGTTCTTCGCTAATAGTGATAACATAATAAGGGACAATTACACAAGTGTGGTGTTGATCATGCGTTACACATATGGATTATAAATGATTGTATACATGTATATCCGTTGCTATTAATAATCACGATCATAAAGAAATAACAAATAATATTCTAATCTCTAGCATGCCAATCAAAGTTCATAATGAACAATGTCTTTCGTCCGTTCATTCATAAGTGATATACAATTCTGGTAAAAACCAATTAACCATTCAAAAGATTATAAGAATATTTTGTCATCATATGCCTACTAGTTTATCTTCACCTGCTGCATTTCTTGCTTGGACGCCCTTTGATTCTTTGCATCAATGCTTTTCTTGTATAAAACTTGTAGTAGGCAAAAAGTTTACTGTCAGAGATACTAACTGACTGAAATATATTTCACAAATTTTGTTATATCAAACAATATATATATTGTTATGTGAATGCCTATTATCTGTTTGAAAAGTGTATATATATATATATATATATATATATATATATATATATATATATATATATATATATATATATATATTATATATATATATATATATATATATATATATACTATGTAGGCATATAATGACATTTCCAAACAACAGAACTAAGGGTACTAAGTTATATATATCAACTATATATTTAATTTACCATAGGTGAAAACATATTGACCAATAACATAAAACCCCATTAAACATGTTAAAGATATATACATTTGTGGGACATATATCATTTACTACTAAAACCGGCCTACGGGCACTATGTTAGAAGGGTAGCCTACGCCCCCATACATCGTTTTATACATGCCAGAGTTGCGAGGCCTTATGTATGCCCCACATTAAATATAAACCCCACAAGTATGGTCTCAAATAGACCGATGCCCCGTAAATGGAGGAATGTGACTGTATATATATATATATATACATATCGATTAAAAACAGTTTTCCTATTTGCATTACTAACACAAAACACTATAAACTATATTCTTCCCTATTATCTATGTTAAAACTACTTTCATATCACTGACAACGAATTTAAGTCTTATTATTATTGAATTTATAAGTACTAGTTCCTGACGCTCGCCTAGACGATATTTCTGGACTTGAAAGTCATATTGTATGGATGAAAATCATTTTTTATTATTTATGTTAATTAAATAAATCAGTTTATAAACTGAAAAACATTTAAGTATATAAAGGATATTTGTTTAGTTCAGTGTAAGATATTTCACCGAGTGAGCACCAAAATGTATATTCAAAACAGTGAAACTATCAAATTGATAATTTCACTTGTTCAAACGGTGAAATATAAGTTTTATATTTCACTGATAATTTTATATTTTTATAAATCACAGAAAAGCATGTAATAAATTATTAGCGTTGTTTAAATTAGAATAAAAACTTCCGTACGCTTCCTCAAAATAAGAATCCGTAGAGCGACGTGAACTGCGCATAGAATGCTATGGTGTTATTGCTATGAAAAGTCGATCAAATGTAGTATTTTTTCGCGCATGCACAATCTGCGTAGGGCAAAAAAAGCATCACACTACATAGAAATATAGTATAAGTTCATAGACAATTCCGAGTTCGTTTAAGGTAAAAAGTATAAAATTATATGAAATAGCTTTTAACAAAAACATAAAAAATGCCTTTATAGCTTTGTTGCCATGTTTGCCATGAAAATGCATGGAAAAGACAATTGTTTAGAAATTCCCAATCACGGACCTGACATTGACATTGCTGTTAAGAAAATGTTGAAATATATCTATAAGCAAATAAAGAGTTCAAATTAACTGTTGTTGAAAAAGTTTTTAAAGAAACTAAAGAAATTTTAATAATATATGAAATCGAGGTTAATTAATTTATCATTCTGAAAAAAGTCAGAACACGTGATAATGAATATTAAGTTTTTAGTTTACCTGATTCTATCTTTATCTGATTGATGGCAAACAGAGAATTTAATTCACATAAATATATTAACATAATTTTTCAAAAAAAAAATGAACAATTAAGATGGCTGGTGAAATAAGACACTTTTTATCATCCGGTTTCTTGTAATACATGTAAATGCACGTCACACTATTTGTCACTTTACAATATAACCATGGATGAAATTGGTGTATGTTAAAGCTACACTTAAATTACGATATTTATAATTTTATATGATAAACTGTGTTATGGTACTTAAACGTCCTTGTAAACCAGAAATAAACAACCGGTCATGTGTCAATCTGTTTGACACTCATCGCATTGTCGATAGAAGTGTAAAATGCAGATTATGTAATATTATGTAATACAGGGGGAATAAAATTAAATCTAAAGTCTGCTGTTTCACTTTAAATTTCTGATGGAAAGATCGTCTAATGATATCTTAAAAAGATCACTTTTGTACATGTGCTTTTTTCATTGAATTATTAGTCCCTCGCAGTTTCGTATAAATACACGTTTAAAGTACTTACTGCTTTAAGTCATCCCGAACTTACTGTTTTCCGTGTGCATAACTTGAAATCGTCGTCGTTATTGCGTTTTTGTCCTACACAGAATGCGCATGCGCGAAATGCAACGTTCGTTACTATGAACAAAGGTCTATGCACACGGTATAATATCAGTTTTGGTACTGTAAATTAATATTTTGTTGATGAAAAACGGTTTTCCTTGCTTATGTTACTTACACAAACAATTATAAAACTTTATTCCATACTTTTTTTATTTAGATTAAAATAAAACCTTCCGGACGCTACCTTAATTTATGAATATCTTAGTGGGTCCTGAACTGCATGCGCACGGAATGCTTTATTATTATGGATTTCAAAAAAATATTTTATAGATAATGTTTTTTCTCATGTATATCAATTAGATATTAAATCAATAATGATTCATTTCAACTATATCGAAGTGACAAAATACTCCCTGACGCTGTGGTCATTTAGCGATATAAAATACGCATGGATAGACTTAGTTTTGGGGCTATTGAAAAACGTTTTTCTCGCTAATGTTATTACAGAGCCAATTTATAAACAAAAAATACGAATTACTGCAAAAAAATCTTGGTTGAGATAAACATTTAAGCAGCATACCACCAGAAGTGCCATTAATACAACTAAAATAAAAAAAGATTTTAAGAAAATTAAAAAGATTTAAGATTAAAGTTATATTTTACATGTTCAATATGATAAATGACCGGTTTGCAGTAGTTGTCGCTATAATTCTACTGCGTGACTAACGCACGGCTATATATGCATATTTTGACCTATTTTTAGTAATTTATGTGGATTGTAAATGCCGGCTACAATGCTAAAATTACTTTCTGTATCACAATAGTTAACTTCCAAAACAAATATGAAAATAAGCATGAATCTGAAGGCATGCTGCTTTAAAACCTCATAACGCTTAGTCAGTATACGAAAAATTTTTTAGCAAGTGAAGTGCACGCGAATTTTGTTAATAGCCAATCATTCTATTTTCTCTCGCAGCTAAATACCAGTGAATAATATGCCTCCACTATGCGTGAGACTCAGATCACGTTCTTATTCTCTGGTTTAAATTTCTCACGCATTTCATATACAATGTAATTATATATATTCTTGTTTATTTTAAACCGCGTTTACTACTGCATCGCTGTTTCCGGCGATCTGAAGACGCACTTGAGGCGAAATATCTGTTTTATTGATATATATTGTATGTTTATAAGCGGAGAATTTTGCATATTAAATACAGATTGCCTAGTATTGAAGAACTGCATATAGGATCATCAGCCTATGGGCATGTGGTTGTTGGAGAAGCTCGTTTTTTTGCACATAATGCAGTGCTATAGAGCCTATTAAAATAATGTAAAATGCATTTTATGTTTTATCTTCTTATATTTCTTATTATTTGGTTTAACACTGCTTTCAACAGTATTTCAATTACAGGTATAATGTAGCGGTGGGAATTTAACAAAACCAGTGTTGTCAGTATAGATTTCTCTTCAGAAATAACTGACAACATTTCCACCTGAATCAGGGGTGGATCACGAATTATTTCATACATGTCATTAAGAACGTGCACATCGCTTAAGTCATCTTTACACCTACACTCTTGCTTACTTAGCAAAAAGTATATTCTTAGTGTAGAATGTTAATAAAATTCATTACAGTAAAGGTAATATGTTTCATAATGCATAGATATATCACCAAATTATAAGAGTAATTGCATATGTTTAGTTAAAATTATGATTAAAATCTATTACGCTTCGAGTCTCGAACCCGTAACTGCGAAACTCAGCGTAAGACCACTATACCGCTTACATCGTGGAAAAAAAGAATAAAAGAATTTTCGAAGTTAAAACCCGACTCTAATTGTATTGTTCACATAAAACGTTTTTTGTTGTCTTTTGTTGTTGTTGTTTTTTTTTACTTCAAATAAAACTTTATTCAATTTTACCAGTGATATAGATAACAGAGATAAGCAGCTCCCATATACTCCTAAAGTGTTCTGCTTACCTTGAAACACTTTCTCTGTCCGGATGACTATTTATATCTATCAGATTCTTCGGATTAATCTTGCTGTTCTTAATTACCTTCTTACAAGATGGCGGCTAGGAATCGTTTTCGTTTAGCCCAGACTAAATCTCGTACCTTCCGGGAACGGTCCGGATTACGGTTACACTACCATACCTCACCACACTCCATTGAAATATCACTCATGTCTATCAAAAAGTGAAAAATTATGCGTTTTGTAGCAAATAAAACTTAATGGATGTATATTTGATCCTTTTATATTATACACCATTTGAAAGTTCAATCCTTTATCTGTGGCTGCATGTTAACATATTGGTAACTTTATTTGCCTTTCACTAAAAAACCATAGAAACATGAAAAGTTTTGTAACAAAAATTAATATGAAATTAGGTGCTACCAATGACACAGAAAGCTCTTATGATTTAAGCATAACATGTTTAGTGTACATGTAAACCAGATCTTTCTTGCACTTCGTTAATAAGTAAATGCATGTATTTTATACCGTAAACATAAACGAATAAATTAGTGGTGTTCAACATATCGGATTCGGAAAATCCCGAACATAAAGGGGGTCTACTGCGCGTGCGTTTGCAAAATCCCTAATCGGAACGTCCGCGGCTATTATTTTTAATAACTTATCCGAAGACTGACGGAAAGGGCCGAAAAGTTGCGATTGGCAAAATCCCGTTCGCCATTTTTGTTAAGCTCTAATCACAGTTGTTGTTGGCTTGCGGCCACAGCCGCAAGCCATTTGTTTTAAAAAAGTTGTTCCGGTTAGGTGGTTTCATGCTTACATTTATTAGTGCATAATGGAATGGGATCCATTCTAGGTTTCCGCTGCAATCGTGACAATTCGGGCGATTCCGTCATACTGCGGAATCAGACGAAGTAATATTACGGAAATCTAAGTCATTTTTAGTTACTTCGGTAATCCCAGTTTGTTTCTATAAATAGGATTATTTTCTATTTTCTGTACGAAATCTTCTGTGGTTATAGTTTTATTTTTACAATATCTTTAGCTTGCAAATCATGGTCATGCAACTGCATAATTAGGTAAAGAAGCAGACGTTTGTTTTGGTTGAGTCTTTTTTGTTTTGTTTAGGGGGTGAGTTGTCATATTACAGAAATTAACAATTTATATGCATTTATTATTGCTATTTGTGTTTACTATCTTTTTTGTCCATGGACCCGAATTTTATCATTTAATCTCTTCGATTTACAGCTAAAAATAAATTCGGAGGGAAGAATTCCTTTCGATTTCTAATATGTAAAGTCATATATTTGTTCCCCCTTCGGTGATTCGCAGCGTGTCATATTAAAGAATGAGAACGGGAACAAAGCTTAAAACAGATATGACCTTAACATTGAGAAAGTCCGAAAATCTATTTATAGAAGTAGTTTGATAATTGATAACGAACTGAATGAAATGCAAACATATTCAACCATAAATTGCACCCTTTATAATATAAAATATAAATTAATAGCTCGACCCTGATTATTTAAATCGACTCTGATGTCCCGAATTTTTGCTATAAGAAGTTGATTCCATTTTGTTTGAAGGCGATCGGTTTTATGGTGTTTTGAGTGAAATGTTGATTTGCCAAATACTGCGACATGTATTTTAACAACAGAAACTTTCGTCGAGGTGTTATAGGTTTATTGATAGGAATGTTAACACACTGCCATTGTGGGTCAGACGAGGATTTTGAAGCAATTCAACAAAATAGTAGATTCATCTCCCAATAAATCAATTAACAAAAGCTCTTTATTTATAACCTATGTCAAGTAGCTTTTATATCTGTGACTTGCATGAACATGATGTTAGTGAATTTCCTCATACGTAATAGTTATAGTATATGGAACGAGTTTGTTACGAGGATATAGCACTGACTGGGGCGCCATCAAGGGGTGATTCTGCTAAAAGTATTGAGACTTGGTATACGGTATTTTGAAAACCATTTTTATCGTTGTAATAGATGTCTCATTCGTGTTTAAATATTAAAATAGTTTTGATAGAGTGTTTACGGGGGCGTATCACGTTGGGGGCAGGGTCTGACCTCCAAGCGTATGTGCTTCACAGTGGAAATAATTCATTCAGCGAATATTTCTTTTGATTTAAGCAGTTGCATAATTAAATGAGAATGAATACATTCCATTTATTTTCTTTCTTACTTATTATTATAATTGTTATTATTATTTTTATTATTATTATATTTATTTGCTACTTGGAATGTTCGTTACCGCTGCCCCATTGGAGCCTCAGTGAAAAAAACTACACTTTGGTGCGAAACATGCAACGCACATTTTGAAAAATAAAGTCGATTTGCCTTATTTCTCTCTCTTGTGCCCTTTCACTTTTTCACCTTCTCACTCCAAGATAAAATGAACGAATACGTATGTTACCTTACAGCTTTAAAGTGTAAATAATTCATTCAGCGGATATATCTTTTGATTTCAGCAGTTGCATAATAATATGAGAATAGATTCATTTCATTAATTTTCTTTCTTACTTCTTATTATAATTATTATTATTTTTATTATTTTTCTTTTTTTTTTTTGCTACTAGGAATGTTCGTTACCGCTGCGCAATTGGAGTCTCAGTGATAAAAACTACACTTTGGTGTGAAACATGTAACGCACATTTTGAAAAATAAAGTCGATTTGGCTTATTTACATGTGGATTTAAATATTTCCTACATTGATTATTTGTCGATATTTGTAGAAAGTGAGTAGCATTATAGGTGAAAAAGAAAAAGTACATGCTTTGATATATTTTTGTATCATCTAATATTACTGACTACAGTAGTGACATACAAGTCTTGTTTGTATTGGAATTACTTTCCTTACCAGGTAGGCATCAGTGAAAGCATTTTTTTAAATTTAATATCTGGCCCCTCTGTCATGGACAGTGCATACGATAAGTGTAATTATGCAAATTTAAATGATTAACAAAACATCCGGAATAATGTACACTAGTCCTTAATCTAAATAGAAAATGACTTGTGCGCAGAAATGATTTGATAAGGTATCTGTAATGAGCGCATTTTTTTTTGCGCGGAGCTTCTCTAATGGCGCATTGCAGCAACATTTGTACTTGTTTTTCGATTAGTTCAATTATTTCAAATGATTCTGATAATTTGTAAATAAAATTGTTATATTTCCGATTAAAGGCATAATTTTAATGACCATGAAACTAGTTCACATCTAATGTGTATTGATCACATGATGGTTTCAGTCAATGACAAAACATTAACATAGTCGGGCAGAGAAGAGGTTTGCAATTAGTAAATCGATAATCTTTATGTAGCAAACAAACTTTGAATTGCAAGTGTTATTTTTGTTAAAATTATGCCCTTAAAGATGTAAAGGTATAAATTATCAACGAGGCTGAGTTCGTTCAATACTTTTAATTGAAATGTCCATCAGTGTATGATCTCAGTATATAATTATTATAATAAGCGTCCAAAGGTTAAAGTCACATCAACTTCAAGCACCAATCAATTATGAATCATTATCAAGAAGATCAAGCCCTGAAACAAATATAGCAATACTAAAATCATGTACATACTGAGATCATTAACACAACACAATATATACAATTTAAGTCATACATACATCTCACACCAAATAGTAATTATTACAGCCATCAAACCATTACATCAATTAATTACTTTAATATTAATGAATGAACATTCCATGTACAGTTTTTCGCATTATATTCAATATTAAATAATTCAATCCAGTGGCCTATTGAATGAATATAATAAACTTATAAAATAGTAAAAACGATAATATGACTTGTACAATTATACATACCAATTGTGGATTGGACTCAAATGTGGTGTTACTGCAACATACTGTAATTAAACATATGCACAAGAGAGAATGGCAGTGATTTATATTATTTTACTGCAAATAGGTAATAACTTTAAATATGCTGCCATTATCAGATGCATTGTAAACATATCATGCACACTATACATGAATATCTTATTTTAATAAACTTCAGACCCACAGCTCATTTGTAACTCATTTAAAGAAAGTAAGAAACCAATATGAAACTTCACCAACCTCAATCCAAAATCCACAATCCTTTTTAATAATTAATACTTTTCAACTTATTATTATAAACAATTGAAAAACATGTCTGCCTTCTATCAAAAACAGATGACAACTCAGAAAATGGCGGGAACAATTACACGCATGACTAACTAATAAAACAGCCAAGGGAAACCACTCCTTCAGATTTCAATCAATAAACTACAACTGATTATTTCCCTTTGGTTACACACTTCCCTGCTTTGAGAAAATGACGTCCCGTCATTGTCATGTCAAGTAGTCATGTCAAATAGTCTGTCAGTTAAAATATATTTAGCAACATTTCATGGAAGCAAACATTCCCCTTTAATATATTCAGTTTTAAAGGTTATCCTACAATTAAGAACAAAATGTTTGTCTTTCCATAAAATATCTATACAGCATATCATTGTAACAGCATCAAAAATACAATGCTGTATTCTTAAACAATATACATTTAAATACAAAAAAAATGTTAAATTTAAAGTATATAAAATCAGTATGTTTGCATAGTGTCTCAAAACTGCACTTAACTTTATATCAATAAGATATGCTGTTCATTTCTATAAATCTACGTACTTTTAACTAGGTATGGGAGTAATCCCATCTTATTCCTATCACAGGTTGCGTACTGGTTTACGAACTTGTGATGGGTAATTATGGCACACACGTAGACACATGTACCGATAAAACTATAGTTTATTAATATCAGTTTCCCTCTATTTATAGAAAGTTTTAAATGAAGTATATTATATGCTCGCCCATACGGTTTATTCCGGAGCCGAGGGTAAAAAAAACACACGCATGCACACACGCACACACGCACACATATGTGTTCATGGGTAAAAGTCACTACACCAACTTCTACCCGGGATATGACTACAGTACCTTCCGATCAACGTGGACGTGTATAAATTCGGCAATGCATTCAATAAGCATAAATGATAACCTTTGTGGGTGATTCGTCTTAGAAATGATCAATAGAAACAATTTCGATTTTCACAGGAATGTCACTAC